CGCCACCATCGCCGCCGCCGCCGCCGTGGCCAGCAGCCAAGATCTCCTGCACCATCTCCTTCACGCACGCCACGTGCAGGTACATGGCCTCGCCGTCGTAGCACGAGCGGTAGGTCCAGACTTTGCGGCGCAGCGTCCGTGAGCAGCTGCAGCCACCGTCGTGTCAACCGGTATAAAACTCTCTGTCAACCTTCTCTTTTATCGTAATATCACGTATGTCCTGATATCAGCATTACTTAAAATTTTTTACATTTATATAAATAATGTTCTAGTACCTTTAAATTAAATATTTATACTCCATTAAAAGCCTATAGTGGTGGTAGTGAATTGGATACCCCTATTGCTTTGGTAGTTTTACAAATTGCCCTTGATATTTTCTGATATTGTGGAATAGCTCAACATTTAGTTCAAACAAGTGAATATAAATATAATCAAATAAGCAAATATGTAACACTAACCTGTTCTTTTCTCCAACAAAAGTTGGATTAAATTTTAGATACTCGTGGCACGCTTTTCAAACTGCTAAATGGTATGTTTCGTGTAAAAATTTTCTATATAAAAGTTGTTCTAAAATATCATATTAATCTATTTTTCAAGTTTAAAATAATTAAAACTCAATTAATCACACGTTATTACAACCTCATTTTACGTGAAACACTTAATCTTCATCTTCATCTTCAGGACATTCAAACACCAAGATATTTGATAAAAAAATATTTTGCCATGATATATTATGATAATTTTATTCTTCTAGCTTAAAGCATTGGTATTTTACGAGGTTGTAAAGTTATTGGTAATCAAGGCTATAAAATTTTAATCTTAATCCTATTCAAAACATCAAAAGTTATGAAACCGGAAGGAGTAGGTCCATTGTTTTTTCCACCGAAAATCGCTTCCGTATTTTTGCACCTGAAACGGATCCTTCGTTTACGCATTAGCGACGTGCGTGATACGCGAAAGCAGATAACGAAGCTCGCAGCAAACTCGAAAGAACACAATGCCTCCTCCTGCCCGACCTCACGATGACGATTCGCAAGCTCGTGCTCGACCTGAGGCCACACACAACGTACGTGCGCCTTCTCCTGCGCGAGACGACCGTGCGTCGCAGCCTTTTCGCTCATTCGCGTGCTCGCCTCCAATAAAAGAGAAGAAATATAATGACAATATACGGCAACATGTGTATTCTTCCATTGAGTACCCGGTGTTAGACTTGAACTTGTCGACTATAACACATTAACACCTCAACCCGGACACGAGCACGGAGCCACAGATGGGCGAAAGCGAAACAGAGGAAAGCAGAGCAGGGCAACTAGGGGCGGAGGCAGCATTTTAGCAAGAATAGGACTATAGCTATAAATTTTTTGTGTAAATTCTACCTAAATTTCAGTGTTTCTCCATTAAAAATTTTTGCCACGTGTGGAGCCCAAGCCCAAACTGCCCCACACGTGGCTCCGCCCCTGAGGGCAACACACAATGCACTAATACTGAACACGGAGCTTGGCGTCTCATCCGCGAAACAAAATTGGCATATTAATATGTATTTTTTTTTCTTGATGAACATGACACAATTTTCTGAATTCAGGAAAATAGCTACTCCCTCCGTTTCATAATTTAAGTCATTCTAGCATTTTCCACATTCATATTGATGTTAATGAATCTAGACATATATATTTATCAAGATTCATTAACATCAATATAAATACAGAAAATGCTAGAATGACTTACATTGTAAAACGGAGGAAGTATATAGGACTGTAATTGGCAACTGACATCAAGTCAACTACATACTTTGCGACCCTACACTCTTTTAGCTAGCGAAGACAACACAGCCAAGCAATGCAGTAATGCACTAGTTAAGTAGTTATCCCTAAAGTGAATTTATTAGCAAATAAAATTAATCTTACGGCATTAGACTACTAATAGTATCCGGTTTAGTAAGTTTTGGATAATTGTTAGGTCAAACTTTAAAATTTTGAACTATAAATAATTTTTAAAATATTTGTCTTTCAAATAGAGACATATATTTAGATTAGTCTCACAAGCAATTCAACAAAATCATATATCTGTTAAAAATATTATATATATTATAATAGAAAAAATAGTGTTCAAATTTATTTTTTTTAGAGACCGTGCTCTTGTTTAACAGGGCAATCAGTATTATCAAACCGAAGAGAGTAGCTTGCTAGCCGAAGAAGGGGAAGACGTGGTAGCGGTCGTAGAGCTCTTCGAAGACGTAGGAGACCTGGTTGCGTTCGTAGAGATCGCGGAGATTGTCGTCCTTAGGGTTGTTGAGGTTCCAGAGCTCCACCCTGCGATTGTCGCCGCTCTCGAGGTAGTCGTAGCGCCATAGCTTGTAGCCGCTGTCGTCCAGCACGACGAAGTCGCCGCACGCGCCGGCGAAGTCCACCGGCCTCTCGCGCTCGAACAGCATGTGGAAGTAGTAGAAGCCGACGTCGTCCACCGTCGCCTCGTGCACGCGCCGCCACGCCGGAGCGGCGACGCCGTCGTCCGTCGTCATCACCCACACGCCGTGCACGCCCACGCCGCCGTCGTGCGGATACGGGCTGCCGCTCTCGTCGCTGTCGTCGCGGACGTCGAACGCGCACATCCGGAGGCGCCCGCCGGTCGAGCCCAGCGACCGCTCCGCCCGCCCGATGGACCCCTCCGCCCTCGCGGGCTCGCGGACCACGGTGACTCGGCCGCCGGCGACGTCGTAGCGGAGGATGCGGCCGCGGTTGCGGCGGTGGGTCAGCCAGTAGAAGCACCCGCCGACGTGGATGCCCGGGGACGCGGGGCCGCCGCCGACGCTGCGTGCCAAGCCCTGGGTCCCCTGTTCGGGCAGCTCCTTCGTCTCCCACCTGCCGGTCGCCGACGTGAAGGTCTCGACGACCACGCGCCGGTGCCTGCAGCCGATGAGCACCACCGTGAAGTCTAGCCTCCCCGTCCCCGACGACGCATCGTCGTCGAGGTCGTCGTAGTGAAGGCCGGAGTTGATGCCGTGTTCCGGCGGGAGAGTGGATGGCGGGAGCTCGACCCAGCGGTTGGCCGCCGGGTCGCAGACGTAGTAGCAGCTCCGGCCGCGGGCCAGCAGGAGACGGCCGTGCGCCGCGACGATGGAGATGTCCAGCGCCGGGACGGTGCGCTCGAAGAAGGCGACGTGGTCGTCGTCGTCGTCGGCGTCCACGACTTCCAACCCCGGTGCCAGATGATCGGCAAATCGATCGGGCTCCTGCTCCGGCAGCGGTTCGTCGGCAGCTGAGGCATTCGGGATGAAGCTGCGGCGGTGGCTCTCGTGATACAAGCGAGTGGGCCGCTTGTACTTGTTCCGGATGGGGACGTGGACGGCGAGCTCGTCGGCGGGGTCGACGGCGACGAGGCTGAGGTGGGTGAACCCGAGCTTCCGCGGCTGGACGATGAGGGCGCGGGGGCGTTCGCCGGCGAGTGGCCGCGGGGAGAGGTGGCGGCAGAGGAACGTCGGCTGCGACAGGATCGCTCGCCACCGCGGGCACGCGGCGGCGAGGCGGTGCGCTGCTCTGGACGACAGGCTGCGCGAGATGTCTGATATGACGGCGTCGTCGGGTAGGTGCCGCCCGGCGGCGGCGGCGACGGCGGCGACGGCGCGAGCAAATCGTTGGTAATCTCTCATGGTGCTATGCTACACCAAGCTAGGTCTAAGATTAGTTTATTCGGAATGATATTTAGTTAGGTTCGGCCCATTTATCCACTGGCCCGATCCATAAATTCGTTGGTAGGCCGTGTTGGACCTGAACTTGGCGCCCTACACGGCTACGCCTGGACGCGAGCACAAATGGGTAAAAGAAAAAAAAAGAAAAGTTCACGTTAGGTCCCTTCATATGTCACCAAGTGTGAAATTCAACCCTAAACTGCAATAACATATATGCCGTGTCTCTCAACTCCTAAATTCAGTACAAATAAGATTACAAGATGTTTGGATAGTGGTTTTGATTGATGTGGCACTTATAGTCCCAAGAAACCATAAAACTCATATATCCGCGACTATCCACTATGGAATCCACGTCATCACTCTTGTTTTTTTTTCCCTCTTCTCTCCCTTCTTTCTTGGGGACCTCTGCCCTCCTGCTCGCCACCACCGGTCGACGCCGCCTCTCTCCTTCCTCGATACTCCATAGAGAATGATTCCTCGTTCCCGATGGGCGTCGCAGATGTCCCCTTGTTGGCTTGTTGCCGACAACGACGGTGGCGTCGCTGAGGCACCAGTCGCACATGCCGGCGCTGGCCCTCCGCCGGGTCCCCATCACTGTAGTAGTTGGTGAACAGTGGGTAAGTTTGTTGATTGCAGCACGTACGAGTGCTGGAAGTGGCGGCGGCGGGCGCAACGAGAGAGCTTGTTCAGATAACCGACATCGCCGCAAGAAGGAGACAATTTTGATACGGTTAGAGTGACTGTGACAGCGGTGCAGACCGTGTGAGAGAAGTGACGACGAGGAGCAAAGGGAGAGAGAGGAGCAAACGGAGACAAGAGGGAAACAGGGTGATAGAGAGGAGCAAACGTAGCCAGGAGGGAAACAGGGTGATGACGTGGGTCTCACTATAATTTTTTTATTTTTAATTAAATAGTTACTGATACGTGGGTCTCACGGTATTTTCTAACTTAAAGTATCATGTCAATGCCACATAAGCGTCACGTCAGCCGAAACTACTATCTAAACCATCTTAGGATTTTATTTGTACTGGTTTTAGAAGTTGAGGAACGCGTCACATATTGCGGTTTAGTGACAAATTTTATACTCGATGGTAGATTGGGGTACCTGAAGTGAACTTATTATGAGAGAGAGAGAGAGAGAGAGAGAGAGAGAAGCAGAGGAAAACAGAGCAGCGAACAGATGGGCCTAAATAAAACAGAGGAAAAACAGAGCAGCGCACAGATGGGCTAAGGTTAAACAGAGGAAAACAGAGCAAACCAGAGTGCAGTGAAACGGAGCGAGAGATCCCCTGAAACTGGACAAATTGACACACGATTTTGTGCTGCAAGAACCGCGCAGCATTTCTGATTTTATTCCTCTCACAAATTATACCAACAAAACTGCTATACAAAACAACAAATGATGGTAAATCCCTAGCTAAAAACCTATTTGCGCGCGACGAGCTCAACGTCGACGACACGCATCTAAACTGACGCTGGCTTCTCCAAACATGGCCATGCGCCCAATCAATCAAATTTAAACAAAAACGCATCCTAAACTCAAAAAGTTTAGGGGATTATTCAACAAATCAAACCCCTAGTACTCCTATTGCCGACCATGATCCCTAACCGTTGGGGAAGACTAACCCCACCACCGCCACGGCCATCGCCGTCGGGTCACCGAACAACACGCCGGCGATGACGCGGAGGACGAACACGACGATCTTGAGGAGCTTCTTGAGCTTGCTCCTAGGCCTCCCGTTCTTCTTCCGCAGAGCCACCGCCGCCTGAACCGGAGCCCTGATCACCGGCATGTTCCGGCCGCCGCCGCCGCCGTCGGTGCGGTGGCTGCTGCTGCTGCCGGCTCTAGAGCTCTCGTAGGCCATCCTCTTCACGCACGCCACGTGCAGGTGCACGGCCTCGCCGTCGAGGTCGTCGGAGCTGTACGTCCAGTAGTTGCGGCGGAGGTGGGGGCGGCTCCCCTCCTCCGTGCAGAGGAGGCACCGCCGGGGAGCCGTGCCGCCGGAGGAGAGCTCGAACGCGGCCCCGCCGAGAGCGACGCGGCCCGGCAGGTGCGCGCAGCAGGGGTGGAGGTCGAGGTCGCGGTCGAAGCAGTGGTAGACGAAGCCGCGCACGTCGTCGCCGCACGCGTCGCAGACCCTGACGTCGCCGTCGTCGGGCGCCGCCGTCGGCGGGGGCTCGTGGAGGAGCACGAACGACGCGGCTCCACCCTTGAACAGCGCGCGCCCCGCCGGCAGGACGTCCGGCGCCAGCGCGCACGGCGCGTGGAGGTCGAAGTCGCACCCGGCCTCCTCGCACTCGTACCGCGCGCAGCCGGCGCCGCCGAGCTCCTTGCAGCCGTCGCACACGAACCTCCCCGCCCCCGCGTCGTCGGCGGTGATCAGTTTCAGCTTGTGCGCCGGGTGGAACGGGTGGCCGCGGATCTCCGCCGGCGCCGGCGCATCCTTGTCGCTCTTCACCTTCATCGGTGAGGAAGAAAGGATGGATCGTCAATTCGAATCCGTCTGTCTCACTGCGCTGCTTTCTTTGGTGGAATGGTGGCGGCGCGAGTCTTCCTGTTTATTTATAGGTTTGCGCGCGCCGCCTTAAGCCGCGGAGAACAAGCGGTTGCGTAACACTGGCGCATGACCAACACGTTCTCCTTGCGCGCCAAGCCACAGCATAAGTAAAGCTCGGGGTTGATCTGCTCACTTAATTCGAGTACATAATGCAGTAGCTTAATCCTTAAGCTTGATTAGTTACTCATTTAGGAGTACTCACCTATTACTGGATAGGATATAGGAATATTATAATGATACAACTATAAAGAGAAGCGGGGGTTGATATCTCGCGTGCGCGCAAGATGCACACACGCCAGCTGGCGCCCTCTCCCCCAGCAACGCAGTTTTTTTTTCTATTTTAGCGCTACGTTTCCTCTGCGCATTTTTCTTTTTTTAAGTGTTTTTTCCGATTTCTTTTAATCTTCAGCACACGTGTTTTTCAAATCTCTGAGTTAAAAGTTTTCAAATTTAAGTTGAAAGTTTCTAAATTTGAGTTGAAAGTTTTTTTTAAGTCTAAATTAAAAGTTTCAAATATAGAGTTGAAAGTTTTCAAATCTTGACTTGGAAGTTTTCCGGTCTGAATTGAAAGTTTCAATTCAAGAGTTGAAAGTTTTCAAATCTAAGTTGAAAGTTTTCAAATCTTGACTTGAAAGTTTCAAATCTAGAGTTGAAAGTTTTCATATCTATGTTGAAAGTTTTTAAATTTGAGTTGAAAGTTTTCCAGTATGAATTGAAAGTTTCAAATCTAGAGTTGAAAGTTTTCAAATCTACGTTGAAAGTTTTTAAATTTGAGTTGAAAGTTTTCCAGTCTGAATTAAAAGTTTCAAATCTAGAGTTGAAAGTTTTCAAATTTGAGTTAAAAGTTTCCAATTTGATTTGAAAGGTTTTTTAAACTTTAGATGAAAAGTTGAAAGTTTTCAAATTTAACTTAAAAATTCAAATTTCGAGTTGAAGTTTTGAGTTTAGTTATGGCTTTTAATTTTTTCATAGAAAGTTTTAAATTTATTTAAAGGTTTCTTTCATGTATAGATTTCATTCAATCTATCAGTAAAAACAACTTTTGAAAAAACAAATCTTACCTTAATTACTGTCATTAGCTAATTAGAGTCATTATCTAAGAATGGTTAGTTACGATAGTATCGTCAAGCCGGGAAAAAAGATAAGGCGTAGCGGTGTTGGTCTCGTGGGTATAAAACACGTGCCGACAACACACGCGCGCCAATTAGCTTCTCTGGACAAAAGCTATATTATGGGCCAGAGGGAGTAGTTATTGATTTATAAATATTAAATTTATATATATATTTGTATTACAAAACATTTTAAAAAAATTAACCATATGCTGAATGGGTTAGTTATTCTTCCAATGGGACTATTGTGGCGACGACACAGTTAAAGCAAAATTTGGTGAGCTATAATTGCAAGAAAAAATTATATGGAGGAGTAAATTTCGCATAAAATACAAATAATTTTATCAGTCTATTATAACACTAAAGATTTAAGAAATGTAATCATAAAATAGATATTAATTTAACATCAATCTTATTACAAAACTACTACTTTATAACTTAAAGGAATATCAATAATACTCGACCTAAACTCTAAAATACATAGTTCTATAATAATATTATTACTAAAGCTGTAATTTTGCGTGTTTCAAAAAAAAAGCCGTAATTTTGTGATACAATATCTTAAAATATAGTTTTATGATAAATTTAGTCTAAATATGTAGTTTTGTGATATATTTATATTTTAATCTACCTTTTTTCTTAAGACACAGATTTTATCTTTGTTTTCGGTTCTCATTATCACGCTTTTTTAAACTGCTAAACGTTATATTTCGTGTGAAAATTTTCTATAAAGAAGTTACTCTATCTATTCTTTAAGTTTAAAATAATTAAAGTACAAACTGATGGTTTGATAGCGGCTCAGCTCATACAATCTAAAGAGAAAGATCTTTCCGCACTAGCTTACATTGTTAAGGAGGTTAAACACCGAGAAAGGGAAATAGTTATAAAGAAGATACCTTGGTCCTAGAACCAAACAAGCCATGTTTTAGCTAATAAAGCTTGCCCTGGACTTTTATCTGAATTTTGGTTAGGAGAAACTTGTAATTTTATTTCACAGTTAGTTAGTTCACGAAGACTCTTTGGTCGAGTAATATATTTCTACTCTTCCAAAAAAAAGTTTAAAATAATTAAAATTTAATCAATAATATGTTAATAGTTTTCTTATTGTACTTAATTTATTTTATCTCCTGTAAACTTAAGGGGCTTATATTAGGGCTGTGTTTAGTTCCACATTAAAATTGAAAGTTTGAAGAAATTAGAACGATATGACGGAAAAGTTGAAAAATTATATGTATAGAAAAGTTCGATGCGACGGAAAAGTTGAATGTTTAAAGAAAAAAGTTAGAGTCTAAACAGGATCGGCATGCACATACGTTAGTTCGGTCGGTCGACGAACGTATAAACCACGCAGAGGCAGAAGAGCGCACGCGGCCGCCGATCCACCGGAACAAAAAAGCATATTCGACCGACGGATTGATCCATCGGGCGGCCAAGATGGAGAAAGAAGCTAGCGATGACGATGTCCACGCAAGATCCGATTTATAATATTATTACTGTCCGCCCACGCAGCTTAAGCTTAGCTTAGCTTTGCGTTGCTTAATTTGCGTTGCCCGCCGGCTTGTTCACACAAGCTTAAAAGAGATGATGATGATGATGAGTTGTCCACGCAGGCAGCATACGTCACCAGTAGCTAGGACGGTTTGATTAATTTAGAGCAACTACTGGATTTAAATCATCTATAGTTAATATAAGAACTAATTCATACAATAAATTGCTTACTAAACTATTAATACCTAATCTCACATATCATATACATATTACGTCTTGAAGTCCGTGTTGTCACTGGCTACGTATTTGTAGCCTGTTATTTTTCTCTCTCTTCTTTTTTCTCTTTAAAATATATTTATAGCTGGTTTATAGTGTGCTATTACACCTGCTCTTATAATTTTAGCCGACAATGATTCTCTCTCCTGAAAGCAAGCTTCACGAAGTTTCTCGAATGTCCCAGGTGCAGACGGCAGGGCGCTGGAGAGAATATTCGGTGCTACAGAACAGTGCTCAGCTATCATGCTACTAACATCAAAGTGTATCAAAAAAATCACAAAATTTTCTGAGATAGTTGTAGGCAACATGTACCACTACAAGAAAAGGTCAGCTCAATATAAACTGTACACAATGAAAATAAAAAAAAACAAATTTGTGCGGCAAAGTACTTAAAGAGGCCACTCTATTGTTCACATGAGATCTGTCATTTGTTTATCCCGGTATACATCACATCTTGAGCTAATTATGTTACGGTTGTACTCGTACAAGTTATAGCTTTCGACATCTCAGAATTTATTTATTTTTCATTATTCTTTTGACATTGTGGACGTACTCCTTGAGATTGTGGATGTACTATACTATTTAGTAGCACCTAATATGCTCTCCATGTAGGACCAGGGCAGGCAGGCCTAGGAACATTTTTTATTTTACTTGTGTTAATTAAGGTACTAATGTTTACACGACGGATAGTTTGAGTCTCATCGGTTGCCCATATTCCCTAATAAGCCAAAACATCTTATTAAGAAATAAAAATTAATTTATAGTTAAAATTTTTATATATTAACTTAGGCTGGTGTTGAGAAAGACCACCTCGTAAAGTACTTGATATACCGGCCAGCTCGATGCCTCATCCCCAGCTTGATCTCTTCAGCAACGCACACACCTTCCTCCTCATTCTCCTCACCCATCCCTCTCCCTCACCCTCCTCTGCCTCTCTTTCTCAACTCCTCGTCCTCCTTCCTCACACACCACCGTCAATTGTCGTTGTTGCAACACTTGAGACCACCAGCCACCTTCGTGAGCGTTGTGCTATTGTTGCCATTCAATCTGCTAGCAAGGAGGTTGGGGCCATTGGACCTAGTGACTCCGTCCTCCTTGCTTGTGTATTTGGCTGTCCGGAGCAAAAGTCATAGGTGATCGCTGCCCTCCCTTTCACTTCCCCTCTATGCCACACTACCTTCCCACTATTTATTTTCACTGGTCCATATAATTATGGATTGGCAGGGTGATGGATCTTTTATAAAGCATGGACTAGGCTGCCCATATAACTAGGGATTAATAGGGATTAATAGGGTACGTGCATTGAGGATGAAATATTGGATCCTATTCCATACTTCCTCCGTCCTAAAATAAATCTAATTCTAAAGTTTAAATTTATCTCCAAATAAATCAACTCTTACCTTCTTACCTAGCATCGTATGTAGATCGAGAAATTTTATTCTTCGATCAATACCCTCATCTAACCATACACCAATATAACTTCTCTGTTAATTAGGGATATTTTGGTCGATTATCTTTCTTCCTAATTATATATTGGGAAGGTAGGGTTTGATTTATTGGGGGACAGAGGGAGTCCACAAGAACGAGCAGATGGAAAGAAATAGACGGAAGGAGAACGACTGCACTTCAAAATTTGTAAAGAAATTCAGTAGGTTGAATAAATGGCAACAAAATGATCAAGCCTTAAGATAAAAAAATAATTTCCAAAATTAAATGTTGAATGAAACCAAGAAAGAAAGGCACTGTGCGGGCTACTACTAAAATTTGGTATTGATTTAATTAAAAAATTTCGGAACCTAAGTTAAGTGCATGCGTAATTTTTAAATATAGACTCATTTCGCTGCCCGTCTCCACGGGATCGACAGCTCCATTGTTTTACTTATATGTAGAATAGAAAAAAAATGTCCGTGGTTTATTTTACTCTTATTATTATTATATGGTTTAGTTAAGATGAAATTCACTGTGAGAGTTTGCTTGGATATATATATTTTTAGAAAATCATGAGCTGCAGTCCAATCGTCTCAAGTAGCATGCGAGTTTTTTAAAACAGATTTCTTCTTATATGATTCCTTCGGTATTATCAAAAGTGAACGATTACTATGCTTATTTGTTTAGGATCGGTTTAATGTTTGAATCGTAGTTTTGAAATCGACTGTAGTTCGTTTCAGAAATCAGA